GAGGAGGAGGAGGAGGAGGAGGAGGAGGACCAGTGCAAACCCAAGAGTCATCAACGATGTTGGAATACATCCTCCCTCCAAGCCCCCTCTTCATAGGCCCCTACAACGGTTCATTTCCATTGAAGGAACTGCCTCGTTGGAAGACAACCGTTTGAACATCCTGAAGCATGCCAAAACATTGTTCTCGGGATTTCAACCGCACGGATCAACCTGACTGCTGCGTCTTGATGATCGGGTATCCTGCCAGAAAACCATTTTTGGGACTTCAGCGCTTGCACCCGCTCTACCGCGAATCAACATAACGGTTGCACCCGCACGTTCTTGAATCCTTCCACAACACCATTTCTGGTACGCTCATCATGGGAAGCCGTGAAACTCTCCCAACTAGTATGAACGAATGTGCGCGGCGCTCAGGCGAGAACCACAGTTTGAAACAGAACCGCCCCGCCCTCAATCCGTGAAGCTCTGGCATTTTTAAAACGAATGTACACGGCGCTCAAGCGAGAGCCACATTTTGAAAACGACCCGCCCTCAATCCGTGAAACTCCGGCAAATTTTCATAACGAATGTGCGCGGCGCTGAGGCGAGAACAACATGTTGAAAACGACCCGCCCTCAATCCGTGAAAATCTTGCAATTCTTGACAACGAATGTGCGCGGCGCTCAGGCCATAACCACATTTTTAAAACTGCCCGCCCCCAATCCGTGAAACTCTTGCAACTTTTTAAAACGAATGTGCGCGACGCTAAAGCATTTTGAAATCGCCCCTTCCTCAATCCGTGGAGCTCTGGCAACTTTTCACAACGAATGTGCGCGGTGCCCATGCGAAGACCACATTTTGGAAACGACCCGCCCTTAATCCGCGGAGCTCAGGCAATTTTGTTGAAACGAATGTGCGCGGCGCCAAGGCGAGGGCCACATTTTGAAAACCACCCGCCGTCAATCCGTGAAGCCCTTGCAACTCTTTAATACGAATGTACGCGGCGCTAAGGCGAGAACCACATTCTGAATACGACCCGCCCTCAATCCGTGAAACTGTGGTCACCTTGTGAGCTTCAGAGTCACACGCGGTGAGGAATTCTCAAGCGAAGCGCCCGCCCCCCAAAAAAACCGGCCTCGGGGTGCGACAGGGAGAAGTTCGGTAATTATAAGGAACAGGACTGGATGACAAGGAGGATGATGATGAGGAGGAGGAAGAGAAGGAGGAGGAGGAGGAGGAGGAGGAGGAGGAGGAGGGAAGGAGGAGGAGGACGAGGAGGAGGATGAGGAGAGGGAGAAGGGACGGAGGAGAGAGGGAGGAGGAGGGAGAAAAGAGAGAGAGAGGAGAGAGAGAGAGAGAGGAAAGGAAGAGAGGGAGGGAGGGAGGAGGGGGAGACGGAGGAGGAGGAGGAGGAGGGGAGGAGGAGAAGGATGAGGAGGAGGAGGAGAAAGGAGGAGGGAGGAGGAGAGGAGGAGGAGGAGACGGAGGAGGAGAGAAGGGGCAGGAGAAGGGAGGAGGAGAAGGAGAGGAGGGGGAGGAGGACGAGGAGGCAGGAGGAGGAGGCGGAGAAGGAGCAGGAACATGAGAAGGATCAGGAGCAAGAGCAGGCAGGCCGAAGGAGGGAGGAGGAGGAGGAGGAGGAGGAGGAGGAGGAGGAGGAGGAGGAGGAGGAGGAGGAGGAGGAGGAGGAGGCGGAGGAGCAGGAGGAGAGGAGGAGCAGGAGGAGGCGGAGGAGGAGGAGTGAGGAGTAGGGGAGGAGGAGGAGGAGGAGGAGGAGGAGGAGAAGGAGGAGGAGGAGGAGGATCCCACGCCACTGAAGGGCGCGTCTCTGTCTAGGCCGCGCTGGCCGCGCCGCCGCCGCCGTCGGCCCCCGCGGGGCCTGTCCTCAGGTGCTCCTCGGCGGAGAGCTCCTGGTAGAAGTCGTCGCTGTCGAAGAAGCCGACGCCCTTGGAGAAGGTGTCGACGACGGCGATGCCGTCAGAGTTGGAAGAGAGGGAGTCCACGCGCGGCTGCGGGGAGGTGGCCATGCCGTCGTGGTTGAAGTAGTGCTCGATGCCTTTGCGCTGAACCAGTCCTTCCGCCAGCGCAGCAAGACGAGAGCTGCATCCGCGAAGCGAGAAGAGGTCCCCACGCTGCTGGAACGGCGCACCAGGAACCGCCCATCGGTGTGCATGTGTCTGAGGAGCCACAGACGTACAACTGCCACTGTCGGCCGTGCCGTCGTCACGAACGTCACCCAGAGCGATGCCACCCAGTAGAGCAGTAAACTCATCGTCATAGTCACCCCCATCGTCACCACGAGCGTCACCCAGGAGAGCAGTGAAGTCGACATCTGGCATACCAGGCTCGACAGCACAGCGTACGCCGACCAGAGCTGGGGGAGCGTCATCACGCCCAGGGGGGTCCGCGCGAAGACCGTGCAGATCCGCCCTCGGACCGCTATGAGCCCCACCCGAACCTGAGGCTGCACCAGGGGAAGTAGAAGTTGCCACCGAACTCACCGAGCCCAAAGTCACAGCAGAACTCACAGCCGAAGGAGCCGCAGCGCCCGAAGCTGCAGCAGAGAATGTTGAAGCTGCCGCCGAACTCACCGCGCCCGAACCCACTGCGAAACTCAACGGCGTAGGAGCCACTGAACCCAAGTGTGCACACAGCGCTGCAGCCGCAGACTTCGACGCTGCCATCAATCTCGAAGGAGTAGCCGAAGGAGTCCCAGTACCCGAGGTAGCAGCAGGGGACGCTGAACCCGAAGCTGCACCAGACGTGGTTGAAGTTGCCGCCGAACTCGAAGGTGCCGCAACAACCGAAGCGGCCTCCAATTCCCGAAGTGCGTGAAGATCAAGAGCGTTGCGGCCAGCCGCGCGAGCGTGCCAGAGAGATGTGGTGAGCGGCTGTACCCCACGAAATGCAGAGAACTGCTGACTTAGGCGCTCATGTTCTTCAGCTAACACCAGGTCGGACACCACGGTTAGATGTGAGAGCTCGCAGTAGTCGCCTAGGCCACAACCAGGGAAAGATTTGCAGGCCTTGCAGGTAGCGACCCGTGGGCCCTCGGGCAGGACCTTCAAGCAATAGAAGTCGAGAGCCACCACCCCCGGAAGTCCAGCACCGTCCCGATCACCGGTCTTGTCCCGCTCCACCGAGCAGACCCGAAGAGAATCCATACCAGGGCCCAGAACACCTGCATCGCCAGCGCCATGCCCAGAACCGGCAGCAGCGTCAGCACCGCCAACAGCACCAGGAAGTAAGCAAGCAGCGTTACCTCGATCAGCGGAATCGTTGTCCCGCGCGTCCTCCCCAGCACAAAGGGTCTGGTCAGATACGTAGAAGCCCTGCCACGAGGGAGAGACACAATAAGGAAAAGGCCACCACGATCCCTGCGAGGCGAGCGCAATGGTGCATTGATTCAGAGCCTCCCAGGTAGCCGAACGAGCGGATAACATGTTGAGGGGCTCTTCCATCTTGTCCAAGCGCGCGACGATGGAGTCGTACATGTCGCCACAACCACACCTGCAATGGTTCCGCTGCGCTTGCCGATCGGGGCGTTCTGTGTGTCAGGCAAGCCGTCGTGCAGACCCGCGGTGCCGCCACTGGGAGGCGCAGGAGACGACCCAGCAGCCTCAGCGTCAGCAGCGTCGCAGCTATCAGTAGCAAAAGAGTGGATCTCGACGCAGTCGGCCCAGCGCAGACGGACATCAGCGCCGCGGGGACGAGCACCAGCAACGCGCCGAGCAGGTGGGAGAGGACATAATGAGCTGTGAACATGCTTGGCACGATCGGCCTGTACCAAGATCGAGCGAGCGAGCGCATGGGAACTTGGAGAAAGCTCGCCACGTCGCAAAGCACGGTGGGCAGCCACCTTGCCAGCAGCAGCTGGCGGGACGCCAGCCAGCAGACCAGCAGCGTCCAATTGTCGGTGGAGCGCCTTGCCGCGAGCCATCCTCTTGACATCCTTGTAGTCGGCGGAGTCGACCTCCACGAACGACTTGTTTGGCGCACTGTGCGACGTGACGTAGAACAGGTCCCGCTCCCGTCGGCGGGCTTGAGATGCAGAGAGAGGTGCACCATCAGCGAGCGCGGCCACCCATGAGCGGCAGCGAGGCATCCCAGCTGCAGCGAGTCCCACTCGAAGGTGAGGAAGAATGAGAAGAAGGGCAACGATCAGCAGCATCGGCGCAGCGACGCCATGACTGAAGTCCCGCTCAGCGGCGGGCGACCGAGCACATGAAGGGGCTACCCCGCGCGGCGCGGCCCTGACGCTCTTGAGCCAAAAATGGCTACGGAAGGAGGAGGAGGAGGAGGAGGAGGAGGAGGAGGAGGAGGAGGAGGAGGAAGAGGAGGAGGAGGAGGAGGAGGAGGAGGAGCAGGAGGAGGAGGAGGAGGAGGAGGAGGAGGAGGAGGAAGATGCCGACTACACACCCCTGCGGATCCTGGCCAGGCCCATCCCGCCCCCAGGATCGGTGTATCACGGTCGGGGACCTTTGCTTCGGGCGTCGCGGCGGCGGCCCTGGCGACGCGTGATGTCCTGTGAACGGGCAGCGTGGCGCTCCGCTTCGCGGGGCGGGAGGCTTCGAAAGGCTCGGTGCGTTGGTGCTTGGGGACTGGGACGTGGTTAGCGTGTCGCTCTGAAGCGTGGTGGGGCAGGATCGCCGGCGCGACAAAGTTCTTGACCACACGCCTGTTCAGGGGTCCTCCTGGGAGGTCCTTGGGCTGTCTTGGGGTGATCTGGGGAGCTTCTTGGGCCGTCTTGTATCGCTGGCAGCCTGAAAAAGGCGAGGACGCTGGCATCCTTCAACAACCTCACTATGGAATGTGTGCATGATTTTGGCCTCTCAGGGCCCTTTTGAAGTGCTCTTGGAGCCCTCTTGGGGTGTTTCGGAGGCGTCCTGGGCTGTCTGGGTCTGTCAGCGACTCTGTGCCGTCTTTGACCACCTTGGGGGACGCCTGTGGCGCCTGGCCTCCTCCTCCTCCTCCTCCTTCCTTCCGTCTTCCCAGGTAGCAGCAGCGAGCGCTTATTCAGTCACCCTCGCTGCAGCCGCTGCCGTCCTCGAGCCTCTGTCTTCTTCTTTTTCTTCTTCTTCTTCTTCTCTTCTTCCACTTCTTCCTCCTCCTCCTCCTCTTCTTCCTCCTCCTCCTCTTCTTCTTCTTCCTCCTCCTCCTCCTCCTCCTCCTCCTCTTCCTCCTCTTTCTCCTCCTCCGCCTCCTCCTCCTCCTCCTCCTCCTCCTCTCCCTCCTCCTGTGTGTAGTTGGCGCCCTCCGAGAACCCGTCCAGCAGCCACCCGAGCTCGAGCAGCCGCCGCCCGGGCGCCAGCAGCCTGCTTTGCAGCAGGGCCAGCTCCTCTGGGGGGCCCCAGCACTCGGCGGCCAGCGGGGCCCAGGGCTCAAAAGCAGGACGACCACAGCATGGCTCCGAGATGGCCCGAGACAGCCCCAGAGGCGGAGGAGGAGGAGGAGGAGGAGGAGGAGGAGGAGGAGGAGGAGGAGGAGGAGGAGGAGGAGGAGGAGGAGGGGGGCGGGGTCCTGGAGAGGAGGAGGGGAGGAGAGGAGGAAGGAGGAGGAGGAGGAGGAGGAGGAGGAGTAGGAGGGCAGGAAGGAGGATGGAGGAGGAGGAGGAGGAGGAGGAGGCGGAGGAGGAGGGCGGAGGAGGAGGAGGAGGAGGAGGAGGCGGAGGAGGCGGAAGATGAGGAGGTTCTCCATCCAGAATAACGTTCCGACGGTCCTGGGGCCCACTGAGGGCCCCCGGCGGCCGCCAATAGCATCCCGTCGCGTTTTTTTCGCAGCGCGAGGGGGTCTGGCGCCAGGGCGGTCCCGAATCGCCACGCAGCCTCCAAGAGGAGGCTCCCGAGAGGCAGCGCCCCGCGCGCCAGGGCTGGGGGGCGGGGCCGGCGCGAGCCCCCGAAAGGTTAGGAGAGGGAACACGAGGAGGAGGAGGAGGCGAGAGGAGAGGAGGAGGAGGAGGAGGATGAGGAGGAGGAGGAGGAGGAGGAGGAAGAGGGAGAGGAGGAGGAGGAGGAGGAGGAGGAGGAGGAGGAGGAGGAGGAGGAGAGGAGGAGGCGCGATCCCATAGGACGAAGCGCCGAGTTCGCATCGGGACGGGCAGGAGCGGCAGGAAAAAGAGAGCGAGCGCAATCGAGCACAAAACGAATGCGGGCCCCAGGTCACTATTAGCCCAACCGAAACATCATGGCAACGACAGCAGCCTGGGCCCCAAAACCGTGCGGTCACCCCGAATCCAGAGTGAGGAGGGGGAGGAGGAGGAGGAGGAGGAGGAGGAGGAGGAGGAGGAGGAGGAGCGAGGAGGAGGAGGAGGAGGAGGAGGCGGCGGGGGGAGGGAGGAGGAGGAGGAGGAGAGGAGGGGAGGAGGATGTAGAGGAGGCGAGCGGGAGGGAGAGGAGGAGGAGGAGGAGGAGGAGGAGGAGGAGGAGGAGGAGGAGGAGGAGGAGGGAAGGGAGAAGGAGGAGGAGGAGGAGGAGGAGGAGGAGGAGGAGGAGGAGGAGGAGGAGGCGGAGGAGGAGGAGGAGGAGGAGGAGGAGGCTCCCAACACCGCTTGGGGGGCCCCCGTCCTCCCCCAGCGCTCCCCGCATGCCCTCGAGCGCGCTGGAGACGGCCCGCAAGGAGTCGCCGATGTGGGGAGGAGGGCCGGCCGGAACAGCGGCAGCCCTCCTTTTGGGGCTCCTCGTCGCGCACGCCCTGGGATCCCAGACCCCCTCTCGCGTGGTGCAAAGATCACGGCGGACGGTTTTTCGCTATTTTGGACCTCTGTGGGCTCTCACTGGGCCTCGGGACCGTCAAACAGCGACCCAGGATGAAAAACCGGTCCCGGGGGGGTCCAGACCTCTGGGGGTCGACGTCATGAAACAATCATGACGTCGGGGGTCTGGGATCCGACTTCGCCAAAAAATGCAACATCATAACAAACCACAGCCGGATCCCTAGACCCCATGTTTCTGCGATATTTTTCGAACCCGATCGATCTGTGATGGTCCCGGGGCCCGAAGCCGGGCGAATTTGCTCGCTGTGCACAGCTGCAACGCCAAGATCTGTGGGCAGCCGGATCCACCTCGAGAAGCGGATCAGGATGGAGCCTTGGATGGGGTCCAGGAGCTGACTTTGAGCGGGTCTGGGCCAGGCGGGAGGACCGCCGCGGTCTCCATGGGCCCTCCGCCCGCGATGTCGAGCACGCGGACGGAGGAGTCCAGGAGGCCCTCAAGCACCCGCACCAGGGCGCGCATGTTGTCCCCGCTGGCGATCAGCGGCACGATGCCGCCTGCCGGCGGCGACCCCAAGGCGGGGGGGCTGGCGCGAGGAGGGCGGCCTGCGGAGAAGGCGGGAGGGGCCTCTCAGGAGGGCCTGGCCGCCTGTCCGAAGCCGCCAGCGCGAGACCGCCGGGCCCGCCCTGGCCCTCCCAAGCAGGCCCCTGCCCTCTGCGAGGGCCCTCCGCCCTCTCCGCAGGCCGTCCCCCTCTCGCGCTGCTCCGCGGCACGCACGAGAGCGAGCCCGGGCAGCGATGAGCTCTGGGGCGCGGCCTCGGGCGGGTGCGGAGGGGCCAGACCCAAGCGCGTCGACCGCTGCAGTCGTGTCGGTGTCAACGGTCGGGGGGCCCCAGCGAGCCCGCAACGGGGGCCACTCTGGCGAAAGGTCACTCTGACCCAGGCATCCGCCGGATCCACTTTTTTCGATGCGTGGGCCCTGGAGGTCTGGACCACTTCCCTGAGGCTGGTTGTCCGTCCTGACTCTCAGTCGTTTCTTGAAGCTCCCGAGGCCGGGCGAGGGCCCCCAGAGGTCGAAAGCAGCCCAAACCCGCCCGCTCCAATTTTTTGGGAGCGCCGGATCTCTGGGGAGGAGGAGGAGGAGGAGGAGGAGGAGGAGGATGAGGAGGAGGAGGAGGAGGCGGGGGAGGAGGAGGAGGAGGAGGAGGAGGAGGAGGATGGGGAGGAGGAGGAGGAGGAAGAAAAGGAGGAGGTAGGAGGAAGAAGGGAGGAGGAGCGAAGGAGGGAGGAGTTGGAGGAGGAGGAGGAGGAAGAAAGGGAGGAGGGAGGAGGAGGAGGAGGAGGAGGAGGAGGAGGAGGAGGAGGAGGAGTAGGAGGAGGAGGAAGAGGTGGAGGAGGAGGACGAGGAGGAGGAGGATCTCTCGGAACGTGTAGCCAAGCCACTTTCCCCTGGGGCGTTGCCGAAACCTGGGGACGCGAAGACGGGCTCCAGCGGCCGAAAGTCCGCGGCGACGCCCGCGAGGTGCCCGGCGAAGTCCCGCGCGGCCCCGACGGCGGCGAGGATCACACCGAGCCCGGTCTCCAGCAGGCCGCTGGCCTCGAGTTATGTTGCTCCCTTCGTACTTAAGGACCACATCCCAGAAATAATTTCGAGCACCCAGAAAAGTGTCGAACAAGTGTCGAAACAGTGTCGAAAAAGTGTCGAAGCAGTATCGAAAAGTGTCGAAACAGTGTCGAACGAGTGTCTCCCAGGGCCCGACACGTGAAAACCCTCGAGTGTCGATGCTTTCTTGGTGCTCGAAATTCTCTCTGGTGATCAAAGCTAATGTGGGTTGGAACATCATAAGCCTCGAGCAAACGACAGCAGAGCTTACTTTTGAATGGGGGCCTTGGGCGCACGAGCAGTCCCGGGATGCCTCATCTGCACGATTTTCTTGGAATCTCGTCTTCCCCCCCACTTCCCGTATTTTCCCATATGCTCTGTGGGATCGACGATTACTTGTGCCTGCGTGTTTTTTTTTCCCTCCGGGCATTTTTGGCCGCAGCGGCGCGGATCCACGCCGCGTTCGAGGGCAGCTGCGAGGGACACTGCGGGGCCTCATTTTCGGCACAGCGGGAGCATGGGGAGAGAGCGGGCGCGCGGATAAGGGAAAGGAGAGCACCCTCAGAGCAGGAAGTCCTTACACCGTGCGTGCTGGAGCACGGGCGTGCACAGCAGGGAGACGTACCCGGAGATCCCCGACGCTCCTCCTCCTCCCCCTCCTCCTCCTCCTCCTCCTCCACTTCCTCCTCCTCCTCCTCCTCTTCCTCCTCCTCCTCCTCCTCCCTCTCCTCCTCTTTCTCTTCCTCCTCCTCCTCTTCCTCATCCCCCTCCTCCTCCTCCTGCTCCCCCTCTTCCTCCCCAGAAATCCCCGACGCTCCAACAAAAATTGGAGCGGGCGGGTTTTGGCTGCTTTCGGCCTCCGGGGGCCCTTGCCGGGCCTCGGGAGCGTCAGGAAGCGATTCGGGGCGAAAAACCGGCCCTGGGGAAGTGGTCCAGTCCCCCGGGGCCCACGCATCGAAAAAGTTGGAGCAGCCAGATGCCTGGGTAGAAACTTTTTGATCCGCGGGTCGAGAGCGCACCTCTTCTGGTCGAAGCTGAGCGGGCCGCGCGAAGCTTGAATTAACCAGAGATGGGGGAGGGGAAGGGGGGCGCAGCCTTAGAACGAGGCCGGGAGGAGGCAAAACCTCGGAATCAGGCGGTGCCGAAGCCGGCGTACTTGCAAAGGATCGCCTTCTCCATGAACCCGGTGGCGACCTGGGTAGGAGCACAAGCACAGACCATCGGAGGTCCGCGAGGATTTCCCCGGTCGGCGCTGCGCGCTCCTGGCGCCGCCTCTGGCGCCGCCTCTGGCGTGCTCCGCGCGCCATGGGGGGGTCCAGCACCGATCCGGCCACCCCGTTGTTAGGGAGTTGAACGGTTGGATGGATCGGCGATAGGATCGCCGATGGATCGGCGATAGGCCCCCGACAGCGATGGCGTGACATCGCCGATGGATCGGCGAGAGGCCCCCGATAGCGAACCCGCACGCTCCTGGGCAGGCCCCCGTCGACGCTGCATGGGCGATTCGGGGTCGATGCGCTCCCCCCTGAGCCTGAATAGGGGAACGAACAGTGACATAAACATAAAAACTCGGAGGTCCGCACGGACTTCTCGGATCGGCGCTGGACCCCCCTGGTGGCCCCTCCGGCGCCGCCCCTGGCGCGCGGAGCGCGCCAGGGAGGGGGGTCCAGCGCCGATCCGAGAAATACGCGCGGATCTCCGAGTTTCTATGTTTATGTCATTGTTCGTTCCCCTACTGAACCCTCCCCCCCAACGTTGCCCCGAGCGTCCTCCAACTTTCGGACCGTAGCTCGGGTCTCTGGCGGCCCTTCGGGACGACCTGGGCACCCCCAGAACGCTCTCGGCGAGGCGCTTGCTGCCGGAGAGCGTCCCGAGGCAGGGCGACCGTCGAGAGCCGACGAGAACGCGCGAAGACCTCGGACCTCGAGCTGCGAGCACCTGGAACCTCGAACCCCACCCTGAGCCCCTCGCCCCCGCTCGTGGCCTCCTCGAACTTGGCCCTGACGCTTTCGAACGAGCCCACGGCGCCCCCGACGGCGTCCGCGCTCGCGTTCGCGGCCCACGCGCCGGCCGCAGCGGCGGCGCCCGAGGCCTGGGCGCTGGACAGACGAGCAAACACCAGCAGAGGCGTAAACCTTCGGAGAGCCGCGCGGCGCGGCGACTCCGCGGGGTGTGGCTTGCAGAGGGTGTGGCTTGCAGCCCGCGCCTGGGGGAGGGGGGTGGGCGAGTACCTCGACAGAAAGCTCCCCCGCGCCAACGAGGGCAACGTGGTACCCCCCCCCCAGGACCCAACGAAGCAAATCGCAAGTCCCACCCTGGCGTAACCACAGCCTCCGTAGTCGCCGACCGGATCGGCACAGCGCCGCCCTCCCTCGAGAGAAGGGCCAGCGGCAGCTGGCCTCTGGGGGCCCCCCTCGTCGCCACGGCTGGACGCAGCTTGGAAAGCTGGCGCGGCTGGATCCTGGAAGGGGTCCTGGGACCGATTTTGAGCTGCCGCTGTCTCAACCGGCCCTGCTCCGACTCCCTGGCGCGCGCCGCGCGCCAGCGGCGGCGCCAGAGACGCCGCGAGGGGACCTCCAACGCCTTGAGCAACATCGAGACGTGAGCCTCTCGTCGTTTTCGGCCTCTGGGGGCCCTCGAGATCGCGGGGCCCCGGACGGTCCAAGAGCAATCTGGGGGGCGGATCGTCGGCCCCTGGGACGTGGCCCCGAGCACCAAGGGGCCCTGCGTGAAGCAAATCAAGACCTCGGAGGTCTGGGATCGGCGCCGGAGAGCCCCCCCCCTCTCTCGCTGGCGTGCGCCGCGCGCCAGGGGCGGCGCCGGAGGCGCCGCCAGGGGGCGCCCAAGGCCGACCCACGAAGCGGCAACGAGCGAGGGGGGGAAGTGAGGAGGAGGAAGCCTTCTCACACGACGGCGGGGCTTCTCAGAAGCCCCCTGGCCTCCTGAGACATTTGCCGCGTCTGCAGGGAAGGCTCCGAGAACGTCTCGGAAGGTCGGAGGACTTCCGAGCCTTCGGAGGAGGCCCGCCCCTCCCCAGACATCCGACGTCTCGGTCTTTTCGAGACACGGGCCCCCGACCTCCCGACCACTTCCCCAGGACCAGTTTTTCGTCCCGAGTCGTTTTTTGATGGTTCCAAGGCCGGGCGAGGGCCCCGAGAGGCCGAAGACGACGAAAAACCAGCGTCTCGATTTTTTTCGAGGCGCCCGATATCTGGGCCTCTCACTTCTTCCCCGGGCGCGCCGCCGAAACCAGTCCAAACGCGGCCCTCCGAACATTTTTATGTCCGTGCCGGCTTTTGTTCCTCCGCTGGTGTCGCTGGCCCACTCGCCCGCCTCCTCCTGGCAGGGGAAGGCCAGCATCAGATAGGGATACATCGGACCGACTCGGGATGTGCGCAGGACCCTCCTCCTCCTCCTCCTCCTCCTCCTCCTCCTCCTCCTCTCCTCCTCCTCCTCCTCCTCCTCCTCCTCCTCCTCCTCCTCCTCCTCCTCCTCCCGTCGCTCGTAGTTTGCCTTCGAGGGCCAGGCTGCGCGCGTGCGCGCGCGTTCCGAGGGGTGCTCCCGCGCCTGCTCGGCGGGACGGCGATGTCGACGGAGGTTGGCCGGGCCTCTGATTCCCGCCGGCTGTTGATCCCGGGCGGGCTCCGACGGCCACCTTTCCCTGTTGAGGGTGGGGCGCTCGTGGAACAGCAAGAAAGATGTGCGCAAGATCGGATTGCATCGCCATGGCATCGACATCAAATCGGATCGGCCGCGCCAGGATGCACAACAGCGTCGCGCAAGCAGCGGGCCGCGTCGGGCCGACATGGAAGGAACCAAGGATGGAAGAAGGAGGAGGAGGAGGAGGAGGGAGGAGGGAGGAGGAGGAGGAGGAGCAGGAGGAGGAGAAGGACCAGTGTAAACCAAAGACTCATCAACGATGTTGAAATACACCCTCCCTCCAAGATTCTTCTTCGTAGGCTCCGACAAGAAATCATTTCCACTGAAGGCAGTGCCCCGTTGGGGGACAACTGTGTGAGCATCTTGAAGCGTGCCAAAACACCGTTCTCAAGACTTCAACGCCACGAATTAACCTGACTGTAACATTTTGGCAATCCTGAATAAAGCCCGATCACCATTCCTGGGACTTCAACACCGCGAATCAACGTAAGTGTTGCGCCCTGACAGCCCTGAACCGTTCCGGAACAACATCGCTAGTACGCTACCCATGAGAACCAATGAAACTCTTGCAACTGTTTAAAACGAATGTGCGCGGCGCTAAAGCGAGAACCACATTTTGAACAGGAGGCGCCCTCCATCCGTGAAGCTCTTGCAATTTTTGAAAACGAACGTGCGTGACGCTAAGGCGAGAACCACAATTTTGAAAACGGCCCGCCCTCAATCCGTGAACCTCTTGCAAATTTCTAAAACTAATGCGCGTGGCGCTAATGCCAGAGCCACATTTTGAAAACGACCCGCCCTCAACCCGTGAAGGTCTTGTAAAACAAAAAACGATTGTGCGCGGCGCTTGAGCGATAACCAACTCTTGAAAACGGTCCGCCCTCAATCCGTGAAGCTTTTGTAACATTTTTCCCACAAATCCTGTGGCGTTGGGTCCTCGTTTTGAAGGGACAGCGCCCCGCGTTCCTCCTCCTCCCGCTGCCCCCTCGTCCCTCCTCTCATCATCATCATCATCATCATCATCATCATCATCATCATCATCATCATCATCATCATCATCATCATCATCATCATCATCATCATCATCAACATCATCATCATCATCGTCATCATCATCGCATCGTCATCGTCATCGTCATCGTCATCGTCATCGTCATCTCATCGTCATCGTCATCATCATCATCACCATCACCATCACCATCACCATCACCATCACCATCAACATCGTCATCATCACATCACCAATCACCATCACATCAACCATCACCATCACCATCACCATCACCATCATCATCATCATCACCACCACCATCATCATCATCATCATCATCATCATCATCATCATCATCATCAGCATCAGCATCAGCATCAGCATCATCATCATCATCATCATCACACGTTTCAGCACACCCCTCACACGTTCCGTGGCCCCATAGGGAGCTCCACAGAAGGTCCCAGTGGCGCAGTCCGCATGGCGGCCCCGCCCTATTTTGGCACCCCCGTCACACGTTTCGTGGCCCCACAGGGAGCTCCACCTAAAGACACAGTGGCGCAGTCTGCATGGCGGCGCCGCCCTATTTGGGGACACCCCTCACACGTTTCGTGGCCCCACAGGGAGCTTTACCCAAGGTCCCAGTGGCGCAGTCCGCATAGCGGCGCCGCCCTATTTTGACACACCCCTCACACGTTTCGTGGCACCATAGGGAGCTCCACCTAAAGACCCAGTGGCGCAATGCGCATGGCGGCGCCGCCCTATTTTGGCACAACCCTCACGCGTTTCGTGGCCCCATAAAAGGGGCCCTACCTCAGGCCCCAGTAACAGCGCCCGCACGGCGGCACTGCCCCGTGTCGGCACAGTCTTCACGCGCTTCGTGGCCCCAGAAGGAGATCCGCCGAAAGCTGTACTAACAACGACGGCATTCACAACTGCATATGGTTGGGTCCTTCGCTAGGTGGACCTCCCTATGGGGCCACGAAGCGCGTGAGGGGTGTGCCAAAATGGGGCGGCGCCGCCATGCGGACTGCGCCAGTGGGACCTTCGGTGGAGCTCCCTAGGGGGACATGCAACGTGTGAGAAGTGTGCCAAAATACGGCGCCGCCGCCATGCGCACTGCGCCACTGGGACCTTCGGTGGAGCTTCCTTCCCATTGGGGCCACGAAACGTGTGAGGGGTGTGGCAAAATGGGGCGGCGCCGCCAGGCGGACTGCGCCACTGCGACCTTAGGTGAAGCTCCCTATGGGGTCACGAAGCGTGTGAAGGGTGATCCAAAATGGGGCGGCGCCGTCATGCGTACTGTGCCACTGGGACCTTCGGTGGAGATCCCTATAGGGCCACGAAGCGTGTGAAGGGTGTTCCAACATGGGGCGGCGCCGCCATGCGGGGTGCGCCACTGGGACCTTAGGTGGAGCTCCCTGTGGGGCCACGAAGCGTGTGAGGGGTGTGCCCAAATAGGGCGGCGCCGCCATGCGGACTGCGCCACTGGGACCTTAGGTGGAGCCCCCTATGGGGCCACGAAACGTGTGAGGGGTGTGGCAACATGGGGCAGCGCCGCCATGCGGACTGTGCCACTGGGACCTTAGGTGGAGCTCCCTATGGTGCCACGAAGTGTGTGATGGGGGTGCCAAAATAGGGCGGGGCCGCCATGCGGACTGCGCCACTGGGACCTTCGGTGGAGCTCTCTATGGGGCCACGGAACGTGTGAGGGGTGTGATGAAACCGTCTGATGACGATGATGATGATGATGATGATGATGATGATGATGATGATGATGATGATGATGATGATGATGATGATGATGATGATGATGATGAGGAGGAGGTGATGGAGGAGGAGGAGAGGAGGAGGAGGAGAGGAGGAGGAGGAGGAGGAGGAGAAGGAAGGAGGGGGAGGAGGAGGAGGAGGAGGAGGGAGGAGGAGGAGGAGGAGGAGGAGGAGGAGGAGGAGGAGGAGGAGGAGGAGGAGGAGGAGGAGGAGAAGGAGGAGGAGAGGAGGAGGAGGAAGAGGAGGAGGAGGAGGAGGAGGAGGAGGAGGAGGAGGGAGGGGGCAACGGGAGGGGGAGGAACGCGGGGCGCTGTTTCGTCAAAACGACGACCCAACACCACAAGATGGTTGGGGAAAAATGTGCGCGGGGCTAAAGGGAGAATTATACATTGAAAACGTCCTGCCCTCAATTCGCGAAATTCTTGCAAATGTTTAGAAAGAATGTGCGCGGCGCTAAGGCGAAAACCATATTTTGAAAACGACCCGCCCTGAATCCGTGAAACTCTTGCGAATTTTGAAAGAGGAATGTGCGCCGTTCTAAAGCGAGAGACGCATTTTGAAAACCACCCGCCCTCCATTCGTGAAATTGTTATCAATTTTAAGCATCAGGGCCATAAGCGGTGAGGGAGTCTCAAGCGAAACGCCCACCCCGCCCTTTCGACCTGCCTCGGGGTGCGACACGGAGGAGTTATCTGTAAGGAATAGGAGTGGAAGAGGGGGATGAGGAGGACGAGGAGGAGGAGGAGGAGGAGGAGGAGGA